GAAAAAAAGGGAGAAAATTTTTTAATTTTTACAAGAATCGATTAAAGTCCATGCTGCCAGCACATTTCGCTTTCATTCGACTATTTTTACAATTTAATAGCCTCTTCCACGAGGCGGTTTATTATTGCCACCACGATTAACATTGCGAGATGGGCGGCGCTCTTCGAAGATTAAATTTTGATTAGCAACGGTAAGAGTGTGACGATTAAGACATTCTTTGTACGATTCTTCATCAGCAAATACGACGAATGCGCAAGACTGTATATTAAAATAATAAAATGATCAATAAACACGGTTCAATAAATTTAGTACTAATAAACAAATAAATAAATGTTTACTTTATTGTAAACCATATCAAGATGTTTAATCTGTCCAAAAGTACTGAGTGAGGATTTCAATTGTTCGTAGGGCACTTTTGAATTGATCCCTTTAACATAGACAGAAAAGTTTGTATCTGAATAGATATATGTAATTAATAAAATTTAATGTCAAATTTAATGTTAAATTTAAGAGTTAGAATAATAATAGTGATAATAATAAAGTCAAAAAAAATACAGACCACTGTTGCGGCGATTGTTTCCTCTTGGACCTTCCTGGCGGAAATTCCTGTTGTCCCGAGCTTGTTGTTGTTGAGGCGGATATGAATTTTGAGGTGCCGGCTTTTGTTGTATCTTTTGAGCAGGAAGTGTTGCAGGAACACTTTGAGGCTTGGATTCGGTTTGCGTGCTGCCACTGCTTTTGAAGAGGGTGCTTGCCCAAGTTTGAGGTCCTTGTGGCTTTGGCGGAGGTTGAGTTACTTGTTGATTTGTGCCGGAAGACTGGGCGGCATTAGCCGCCGACTCATCTTTTACGTTAGTAGTGTTAACTGTAGAAGTACCAATTTTCTTAGAGTCAGAACCACTTTGAACATTTGTGTGAGTGATTGCTTCATCGTTAACTACTGATTTCGCAGGAGCAGATTCACCATTATTAGATGTTGATTTAGATAAAGGATTTTCACCATTCACGACGTTTGATGCCGGTTTCACAGAAGCAGTTTCAGAATTATCCGAAATATTTACTGCTGGTTTAGCAACAGCAGGTTGACCATTTTCAAGAGAGGTCAATTGATTGACAACTCCAGAATCACTATTGACGATATTTTGGACTGGTTTATGATCATTTCCAACTGGAGAAACAGATCGTTGAGAAACTGGAGAAATTGATCGGGGAGCGGACATATGTAAACCATTTACAGTATGTGGAACTGTTTGAGACGCAACTTTAGAGGTTTGTAATTGTTGCGCAAACGCTGGACTATTTCCAGCAGCTTGTGTTCTAGAACTTGATGTTTGAGTATATGCTGGGCCACTTCCAACTGTTTGTGGTCTGGGTGTATTAGAACGTTGAGCATAAGTAGGAGATGCATTACCAATTTGACCATTGGTAGTTTGTTTAATATTTTGATATTGCCCATTAACCATTGCAGCAACCGGTTGTTGTTGATTAATATAAGTTGATGATGCTTGATTTGCAAAAGGCATTACGATCGGAACATTAGGAACCGATGCTTTGGGATAAACCGGTTGAGAATTAACCGCCACGTTCGTAACCGGAATCTTGTTCGCATGAACCGAGGGTGAACCGACTGCAACTTGAGTGCCTTGAGATTTGTCAGAGGAAGCGTTTAAAGTATCATTAGACGCTACTAGAGATGAGTTAGTCTGTTGCCCTTCAGAAACAGATGCTGACATTAATGGCAAAGATGCACTGGAGACAGATTCTGTTGTTTCATTAGTGTTTGGAGCATTAGTTGTCACCTCTGACGCATTAGTTTCACGCGTATGTGTAACGACACTCTCTTCCTCGATTATAGTGGGGACATTAATAGGTTCTTCAACAAGAGTGCCAGTAGGTGAAGAACCCCTGTCTTCCTCGCCTCCTTCATTTCCCACAGACTCTTCGATGGCACCTTCATCGACTTCATCACATTCAGAATTTACATCATCATCTTCATTCAGAAATCGAAAAATATCGTTCAATACGTAATAGCCATTTGGTTGCTCGGCCAAGAAGAAAGTTTGAGCAAACTTCCTAGAAGTTTCTTCGTTCCCATTACTCATTTCACCAAGAACTTGAACAACTATTCCGCCATTAAGAGATGACTGACTGTCCACGTTAGTGACAAGAACGCGGCAATTGTCTAAGTTAAGTTGCTTGATTTTCTCTTGTATTTCCTATTGATTCATAAATATGATGAATTAGATGAATTAGATTATTTATTAATTATTTTTTTTTTTGTTTT